AACTTCAGCAGCGCTCTGACAGGACAAGCAGCACAGACACACGACCAAATCAGACTACTTAGGAATAAAACAAACTCAGAATGGTTCGAGGAGTCTGTGTGGGGTTTTTTGATGTGATGCTGGTCTTCCTCCTGCTGAGCTCGATCACAGGCTTGTTGCTGATGGATCACCGCAGAGATGCAGAGGATGACCAGGAGCTCAACAAAGCTATTTTGGAAATGCTACATATCAATAAAGTGTCTGCGAGTCATCAGGCCAAACCACATCCCTACATGAGGAGGGTCTACCTGCGTTTGGACTCACTAGAGGCTCAGGACTTTGGCAGGTCAGATGGAACACTAGTGCAGAGCTTTCGCAGTGTTGTTGGTAAGGTATTTATTACTATTATTATTAGTGCTATTAAATCTATCTAAACAAAGAAAGTGATGAATCCACTGGTTGACTCCAAGATACTGGTGATGGTGCATTAAATAGTGAAGGTACTTTAAAGCTGCTATCATTGATATTTTGCTTTCTGGGGGCAGTGGAAAAACCTGTTACCGAGATTTCACCTTATAAAGTTGATGTTTCTAACATGGTAGCAAACATACAGAGCAATATTAGCATTCATTTAGAGTGGTGTCAGTGAGAAAGCACCTACTGGAAACTGGGTTGTGATGAGATGTGCTGTTATGGAACCAATACAGTAAATTAGCAGCAGAGCGTAAAACCAAAACAATAAGCTAAAAGAAGCTAAAAAAGCTCTGTAGAGCTGAGGGATGAGTGGCCCTTTTTACATTACACATTGTCTTTTGTTAATATAAAAAAATATTGATTAGTGCAACTTTAATTGGAATAAGTAGTTGCCTAAAAGTTAAGATAAGTTGAGCATTAACTGACTGGAAATACCTTTGACATCATTGGGGTTATATTGTGAGACCTGGCAGGTATTACGCTGTAACTGCAACTGTTTTACAGGCTGAGCTGTGCTTCTTATTAAAGTGGTGGAATGTATCTTTGATTTTGTATCAGCTTCAAAGGAGCTATTTTTAAGTTTTGCCATAGCCAACGTTAGCATTAGCAGCTGGTAACTTACCAATCGGTACCACTTTACAATAAGATGACCCTTATAAAGGGTTTATGAATGGTTTATATATATATACCATTTTATTAATTGACTTGTTAATAAACTAAATCATTTATAAGCTCTTACAACACATTAGATAAAAAGGGCAACAGTGACCTGTTGCTTGCCAAATAGTGAGCCCACATGTCTCTGTACTGTTAAACCTCATATCTCATTAGTTACTGAGCTTTCTTTGTTTTCTCCATCATCCAGCATTTGTACCTGCTCCTTCATCACATATTTGTTAAGTTACTAGCAATTAACCTCCGTCAGCATCTTAATGGTCAAAATGTTCCATTTGGCAGATCAAATTATGGCAAACCAAATGATCATATCACATGACCAGATTCATCCTTTAAGGATTGTTTACCTTGACATGTATCAGCAGCCGTCCTCATTCTAATCACTGGTGTTAATCAGATTGTTCTGTACAGTGGAGATGCTTTTTGCTGGTTATTATAAAGTGTAAAACACATCTCCTTTTACTAATGAGTTACTATAAGGCTCTTTATTACCAGCTATAAATGGTAGTAACATTAGTAAGATTAATGAGTAGTAAGTATTAACTTCATCTTGCCTGCATCAATGTATGAAAACTGTGTTTATGATTTATAAAGTTTTAACAACAATAAACCATATATGAATCCTTTATAAGGACAGTCTTGCTGTAAAGTGGAGGTTAGAATACGCCCTATGAGACGGGCCGACTACGTTGGAGCTAGCTGGTTAGCATGCTAACTTCAGTAAAAAAAAAAAAAAAAGACGTGAAGGAAAAACAAGAGCAGTACTCTCCACCTCTGGATTCAGCTGTTGGTGAGTAAATGGACTCACAACGTTTCTTTGAGACTGTTAATGCTAACATTGGCTCTGTAGCCGTGGCTAAACTTATGAATTTCTCCATTAACTGATCATTTCCTTTTCTCTTTATGATATGACTCACCCAGGTCCAGATGAGGCTCCTCCAGGCTGGATCTGGTTCAATGTCAGCAGTCTGAACCCCTCCATGCTGGGTGCAGAGCTGGTTCTGTTCAGAAAAACCCTCCACCCCCGCCCACTCAGTGTGACTGTCACCCTGCACAGTGTCACTGCTTCACAGGGAGCTCTGCAGGAAAGTCCAGCTCTGGAGGAGAGACTACTGACCCTGGACCAGCGACCCTCATCTGGATATGACGTGTTTGATGTATCAGCTGTTCTGGCTGTGAAGCCTGTGGAGGTAGTGGGCTTTCAGCTGCGTTACACAGATGAGAGTGGGAGTCTGGTCCTTCATGAAGCCCTAACACAGAGTCTATACTGTCTGAGCAGAGGCTCTCTGAGTGAACCCTTACTGGTGCTTTACCAAACACACCCTCTCCACACCTAACTCACTGGGACCACTGTACAGTGTTGAAATGACAAGTGAAGCTGATACAGCATTTTTATTATAACCTATCTAATCAATTCAGTGTTATTCACCTCTGATATGTTGGATATTATGCAGAAAGTTTGGGAAAAATAGAGATCATAATGGTGAGGTTGACGTTTTGTACATTTTGTTATTGACACTTGACAAAATCAAATCCAAAATTTGTTTTTCTTTTTTTTTAACTTTTGGGCTTGAGAAATGTGTCACAGGCAACTTTCTTTAATGAATGGCCTTTTCAAGCATCAGTATCACTGTCAGAGATGCACTATTATTATTTTGATCTATATCGTTTAAGAAAAACTACTGCCTAACTTAATTTTAGTTACCATCTCTTATTTTGAAAGATTCCACTGGAAGTATTAATTCTTTAAGGTCTGACTTGACACTGGTGGAGTTGATGCTTGCCATTACAATCATGAAAGTTTACTGTTCTCTAGTGGACACAGTGAGTAGCTACCACACAACATAAAAACTGAAGTAACAGCAGTGCCATAATTGACTAATATAGCTAACAGTTATTGATTAATAACCATTACTATCAAACTCTATCAGTGTCTTTATTAGAAATGACACCAGTAACATCAGTATTGGTAACAGCTGCATAATGCAAAGTTTTGTATTCGTAAAATGTCAGGATAGAAATGTAGTGTGTTTAGAGGTGGTCATCAAGAAAGAGAGAATTGTTCTCATGCTTCCTGTGAAAACTTTCAAAGTAAAAGTTAGTGACCAAATGATAAGAAATTATGAGTAATTATTATTATTATTATTATTATTATTATTATATTCATTATTATTGTTGATGTTTAGTCTGAGTTTTAGAGATCTCAGTATTGTCGTTTACCAAAATTACAAAAGACACTTCTGGTTTTATTTGTCCAGATTTTGAGATATCTGTCTCCACCCAACACAATGGAGGTGAAAGAAGTTTTGCTTCCTTATTTCTTTTTCATTTCTAATCACAACATTTCTCCCAGCAGTAGTGACTTTGGATGTTCCACAGAACAGAATGTGAACAGTTCCAATATGGACTATTTCTTAAGTTGTTAAAAACCTGAACAAATACAACCAAAACTATGTGTTGGAGAACATGAGATGTAGCCTACTGTATAAAATACCTTACTGCTTGTGTGAGTATTTTTACACCGTCATGTACATGTTGGTGGATAAAATAATTGTGAGTTTTATTGATATTCTTGTTATTAATATCCCATTCATTTGGATTTGGATCCTGTTGAGGATGGAGGGCTTGCACTGGGTGACAGGTGAAGTATAGCCTGGACACCTCTCACAGGCTACAACACACTCATATATTGATAAACACATTCACAGTCGCATCTACAGGTAATTTAGGGTCTTCAAATTGGCAAACCTGCAACTCAGGCCATGTCTTCAGATATACTGGAAAATTTAGGGATTTCTTTATGACATAAAGAGGAATTTCCATTCTACATTTACACACATTGTTAGACCTTTTACACATTTTGGGTTCTTAGCTAGGTTCTAACACCGTTTGGACTAAATAGACCTTTCCTAGGCAGAAGACTAAATAAATATATTACATTAAAAATTAACCTGGCACAAGACAATAATGTATATATGACAAAGTTTCTTAAGTGGGTGGGGTTATGCTGTAGGCTAGCAGTTTGTCATTATACAGCCCTGGTTATTATGTCTTTATGATTATTACTAACAGGCATGTAGCTACCATTCAGAACACCAGTGTTAATAATAACAAAAAGAGGAGTTACCGTTTTCTGATGACACATATTACACATATTGAGTGTTTTTCAAAAAAGAAAGACAGAAAAGAAAACACACAAAATTGAAACTGAAATTAAGATATAAGTAAATTCCACCAAAATTACATACAGAAATGTAACATAACATTTCACAAAAACTGAGTTTGCAAAAAAAGAGTTTGCACTGACCTATTTCAAAAATCCTGCCTATACATTCACGATGATTATGACGACGACAGTGATGATGATGATGATGATGATGAGGATAAGGATGAGGATGATGAGGATGATGATGATGGTGAAGATGATGAAGATGAAAATGAAGATGAAGATGACTGAGCAAATGTTTTTAGTTCAATTCTTATATTTTTAAGCAACATTTGATAGTTTTTTTGGGAGGAAAAACAGAAAATATATTTTTATGATAATTTATTATTTTACGAGACTGCTACTACTACTACTACTACTACTACTACTAATAATAATATACTTATTATATAATAATAACAGTTATTAGTAGAAGTAGTAGTAGTAGTAGTAGTAGTATTAGTCTCGTAAAATAATAAATAATCATAAAAATAGGTTTTCTATATTTTTCTATAAGTTATTATTATTATTATTATTATTATTATTATTATCATTAAGTAGTAGGCTATCATATTATTAACTCGACATCAACATCATCTAAGACACAGGAAGTGTATCATTCTTCCTCTGATCTGATTGGTCACAGTCTCAGTCCTTCAAGTCTTTTTGTAGCCAATGATTGACGACCAACCACAGTAACTGCTCCGCCTCCTGTAGGCGCAATTCTCCCAGAAAGCGGAGGACAATATTTTATACCGCAGTTTGTCGCGTTAACGTCCTTTGATAATTTTCCCGCCGGGTGTGTGAGCGTGTCCCGATCTCCTCTCAGCATGGCGCCTGGGTGGATGTGATGCAGCCGTGTGAACGTTTGAAGACAAAGTGAGATGCTTCCCCGGAGCGCTGAACCTGTTCCATCCCGCACACAAAGCCTGTGAAGCAGGCCGTTTTTCCGACCAGAGACGCTGCGCTTATGATGCCGAAACATGTCGGGGAATCATTACAAAGGACACGAAGTCAGCTGCTGCATCAAATACTTCATTTTTGGATTCAATATCCTGTTCTGGGTAAGACTTTTATTTTTTTTATTGTACGCGTCTGCGCCTCTATCCAGTGCAAGTCGGTTATTTTCATGTCCACTGGCCAATAGGGAGGAAGGCCCGAGTCGTCATTACATTTCATCCTGGGTCCGTTATCTGTCAAGTTCATATTCAGACTGAAATCCGTCATTAATCTTCCACTCAGCCTGAACGCAGTCAGAAATGTTGGGACAGAAGCAGCTGGAGCTCGGTCCACAACAGAGAGAACTAATCGGCTTTTTGTAGTGAACTAATGACAGCTCAGCGCCTCAGTGTCCGGCTGCAGGCTGCAGGCTTATATCATCCACTCACACACTCATATCACATTCATACTGGTAATACTGAAACATTTCAACTTCAACTTTACAATATATGGAGACATGACGTCATATGTTTAAAAAAGTGATGTCATTCATGTCAACGCACTAAGAATCATGTGCGTGTAATGGTGTAAGAATGTCAATTATTTTCATTATCGATTAATCGAAGGATATTAACTATTAAATGCCAGAAATAATTGAAAAACGCACGTTCCCAGTTCCTTCACTGTCAATGTACAACTGTCAACTTTAGAATCAAAGGAATAAACACAGCTGAGAACATTTTGTTACCCTGTGTTATTATGACTGAATCATTAGATTAAGTGATGATGAAAATGATCTTTAGTTGCAGCCCTGATGGTCATGTGTCATGGAAGAAACATTTTTTTCCACCATCATGGTGATAATAATACAAAAAGGTTCAGATGCTTGAAACTAACATTTCAAATCTGATACACTCAATACACTATGAAAAATATACAGTACAAGAAATTATATTTTCACATACAGTATAAGATATGTTTCTTTTTATGCAGGCATGAAATATGATTTAGGGATTACAGCTATTATAGCTATACAGCTAAAAGGACAATCTTAGAATTCCAACTCTAACATAAACCATATTTTAAAAAAAAATTGTGGTACGTAAGTCAGCAATAATAGTTCTAATCTTTAGTATTATAGTAAATAATTCCAAAATGAATTATTATAAATAAGGGCGGCATGGTGGTCCAGTGCTAAGCATTGTCGCCTCACAGCAAGAAGGTTCTGGGTTCGAACCCTGGGCTTGGTGCCTTTCTGTGTGGAGTTTGCATGTTCTCCCTGTGCCTGTGTGGGTCCCACAGTCCAAGGACATGTAAATTAGGTTAATTGGCGACCTTAAAGTGCCTATAGATGTGAAGGTGAGTGCAAGTGGTTGTTTGTCACTATATGTCAGCCCTGTGATAGACTGGCGACCTGTCCAGAGTGTACCCCGCCCTCATCCAGTGTCAGCTGGGATTAGCTCCAGCCTCCCCGCGACCTTACAAGGATAAGTGGTAAAGATAATGGATGGATGGATGGATGGATGGATGGATGGATGGATGGAGATATAAATAAATGCCACTATGAGATAAGAAAGGCGAGGGGCAGGGACAGGAACCAGGAGAACATCACAGAGCCACAGTGGCCTCAGAGGAAATGTTCCTGTATTTTCTTTTAATAACAGTTTGACAGACTGATGTCATGTCATTATGCATCAACACATTCACTGTAATATGACATGACTGTGATTTGTTTGCAGCTGTTGGGCATGGCCTTAGTTGGAATTGGATTGTGGGCATGGAGTGAGAAGGTGAGTACAGACACTCTAGATAGAAATACTGTTTTATATTGATATTTAATATATATTTTTTATTTAATTGTTTTTTTGAAATTGCTAGAGATTTTTATTAAAGGTCAATTACAATTATTATAATACTAATATCGTCCTGATTTAAACAGACAATCACTCATTAAATGCTCTTTATCATTTTTATGTAACTGCTTTTTCCAATTGAAGCTGCACTAATCAATATTTTATATTAATAATGGATCAAGTAATTTAAAGGTGTCTCTTGTAGAGACTGAGCTGCCCTGAGCCTACAGAGCACTTTAGTCTAGCTTGTTGTGTTGGTTGTACAACTCCAGTCTCATAAATGTCATTACCCCAACAGCAGGCAAAAACCTCTCTGTACACCAAAAATAGACAAAGTTAGCAACTAGCTAACTAGCAGCTTGTTTTGATGCCCTCTAGTGGGCAAAAAATCTTTAGTTTTAAATTCCAGTTATCCAGTGTTTGCAGAATTTTTTCCTTGTGAAGGATGATAAGTCAATTTTTATTTATATAGCGCCAGTTCAAAACATAAGCTATCTCAAGGCACTTTCCAAATAAAGCAAGTCTAGACCTCTTTATGATATTATTTACAGAGACCCAACAATTCTCACCAAGAGCAAACACTAGGCGACAGTGGCAAGGAAAGACTTCCTTTTAAGAGGCAGAAACCTCGAGCAGAACCGGACTCAGGGTGGGCGGGGCCATCTGCCTTGACTGATTGGGTTGGAGAGAGAGAGAGAGAGAGAGAGAGAGAGTGTGAAAGAGAGAGCAAGAGAGAGCACAGAGGAAAAGAACAAGAAAATGCAATGATAGCAATATTAATAAAAGTGATAGAAGCGGCAGTAACAACAAAAGGAATGTAATGGCAACTGTATTGCTCCTACTGATAAAAATAGTAATGACAGCTAATAGTATTAATAATTATCATTATTAATTATAGTAAAGTAGGTGTTAAACAGGATCATGGGGGCAGTAGGTGGTTTGCAGTTGCAGGTCCAGAGTCTACAGCTCTGGAGGCGGGAGGACCTGCAGAGAGTAACAGGAAGGAGATAGAGAAGGAGAAGGTGGAGAGAGAGAGGCACACAGCCTGGGCGCTTCATGTGCTTGAGGGAAAAAACAAACAGTTAGAATGATGCAGTGATATTCAGAAAGTTAACAGTGATCTCATCGGCAGAACAACCTGGATTATACTGTACTGAGTTTACTGATTTATTGAGACTGAGGCCCACTCACCAGTGGTAGGATGACAGCAGGTACAGAGCCTGAATTTATAAAAGAATAAGAAGCTAACTGAAAGTTAAGGCATAAAAATAGGTTTTAAGTTTAGATTTGAAAGTCTGAACGGAGTCAGACAGTCTGATATCAGCAGGGAGGTTGTTCCAGAGCAGAGGGGCCTGATAGGAAAAGGCTCTGCAGCCAGCAGACGTCTTTTTAACTCTGGGAACCGACAGGAGCCCTAAATTCTGGGAACGAGGGCATGAGCTGGAGTATGAGGTTTAAGCAGATCAGGCAGGTATGAAGGAGCAATTCCATTTAGAACCTTATATGCCATCAAAAGCACCTTAAAGTCTGATCTGACATGAACAGGAAGCCAATGAAGGGAGGTTAAAATCGGTGTAATTTGGTCAAATTTTCTGGATTTAGTAACAATTCTAGCTGCAGCATTCTGAACCATTTGAAGGCTTTTAATACGAGCACGTGGCCAGAAAACAAAACGTTACAATAATCAAGTCTTGATGAAACGAAAGCATGAATTAAGATTTCATTATTTAGTCATCAGACCAAATCATAGCCATGTTACGTAGATGAAATAATGCAGTCTTGCTGATATCTTTAATGTGCTGATGAAAGGAGAAGGAGGAATTGAATGTGACTCCCAGATATTTGACTGTGAGACTATAAGAAATAACACAGTTATCAAGAGTTATTGTTAATTGATCAAACTGGTGTCTATGTCGGGTCGTGCCATCATCTCGGTTTTGTCTGAATTTAGGATTAAAAAGTTATGAGATAAACAAAAGTTGAAAAAACTATCGAGTTTAAAATAATGTTCAAGCTTTCAAACGTAACACACCATATGTTTATCAAATCATTATTATTCCAATTCACCGTGAAAGCAGGGTGATAGAAATAAGAAGACTTGTCAAACCATGTGACTGAAGCAGCTCATATTCCCCAATATCTAGTGAAGTGTTATAAATCAATCTTTCCCCCAGAATTCAGTCAGGTTCCCTCCTGTGTTATGCCACTGCGACCCGACTGGCAAACATGTTCTGACAGAGGTGTAACTTTAGACTGACTGTGTTGTTGTGCTCCGTCTCCTCGCTCCAGGGGGTTCTGTCCAACATCTCATCCATCACAGACCTGGGCGGTCTGGACCCAGTCTGGCTCTTCATGGTGGTTGGGGGTGTCATGTTCATCCTGGGCTTTGCTGGATGTATCGGAGCACTGCGAGAAAACACCTTTCTGCTGAAGTTTGTATGTTCCACGTTAAGAACACGTTCCAGTCTGAACGCAGCAAAGACTGATCAGAAAATCCAGCGTTCTGCAAATGACTCAAGTGTGAATTGGTCTTTTTGTCTTCTTTATGTTTTAGTTCTCTGTGTTTCTGGGAATCATCTTTTTCTTGGAGCTGACGACGGGGGTCCTGGCGTTCGTCTTCAAGGACTGGATCAAAGACCAGCTCAACCTGTTCATCAACAATAACATCCGGGCGTACCGGGATGACATCGATCTGCAGAACCTAATCGACTTCACTCAGGAATATGTGAGTTGAGAAGACAGTTGAACACAAATGTTCAGTCATGGCCTTGGAATTAATAGTTTGACACTTACTAGCGTTTTCCTGGGCTTTCAATCACGTCTCGCCTGCTTCAGCACATGAAGTTTTCAATCTGCTGAAGAAGTGAGATGTGATTTAAAGCTCCAGAAAAAAAGTTTGTAAGTGGACCTTTAATTAAATTGTTAAATTGTTAAATTGTTAAATTGTTAAATTGTTAAATTGTTAAATTGTTAAATTTTTAAATTTTTAAATTTTTAAATTTTTAAATTGACATTGACATGCTGACATGACATGCTAAAAACAATGTAAAACATCTGGGTAGTTAATTACATTATGGGAGAACTGTTATAAACATGAAATTAGATTTTAAAAATATTTGTAGAACTATTTTTACTAGTAGTACTCAGTGCTGTGTACGCTGAATAATGTTATTGAATGTTTTGCCAGTATATTTAGTTTAAAACTCCGTGTTGATCCATTAGAAGATATATTTGTGGTTTTAAGAACCAAAAACCATCTCAGTGTAGTTTTACATCTCCTCTCTCAGGCTTATCTCTGGAGCTCTAGTAACAACAGGTTGGCTAGCCAATCAGAAGCGAGGAGGCTTTGAGCCTCTCTTCTGATTGGCTGACTGTTTATTTTTCAGGTAAACACTCAGATAAACTATATCCTGCAAGGTTGGATGGTGGGTCCAGGTGGGCGAGGCTTGGGCATGGGTGAGGGCAGTGACTGCTTTGTTGTGACATCACAAAGTTACAGAAGTCCTGATGGCTGGTTTTAAGGCTCAGTTTCTGAATACAGGCTGTGTGCATTTCTCTGTGGACTGAGGCTTTGATACTTTCACAGTATTAATATAGAACCTAGACCTGCTTTATAATCAAACAACACATGGACAGAGACCTTTAGACTATAATGAATTTGAAGTCTGATCAAGTCCATTTGCTTGTGAAAAGGCCTGACTGTGAACACTGATTCACCGATGATCAGATCTTTTCCTTTCTGCCTGACTTCAGTGGGAGTGCTGCGGTGCGTTTGGAGCAGACGACTGGAACCTGAATATCTACTTTAACTGCACTGATGGGAATCCCAGCCGGGAAAAGTGTGGAGTTCCCTTCTCCTGCTGCACCAAGGACCCAGCGGTACGAGTCCCCAGCACGGCGTACATACACACATTTATAGAGTTCATGTGAAGCTGTTTGAATTTAATGCATGTGTCTGCAAGGTATTTAAAACAAACACAGTCTAGTATGTGGACTGTAGCAGCTCTTTGAGAGAGTTCGGACCAAATTTTCCCTGTTACTTCACAATGAAATCTTGACTGTGCAGTTAATTGGGTTGTTGGCCCTGCCATTCACTTCCCATCAGCCTCAGTTGTGCTTTGTGTTTAGTCCTAATTAGCAGTAGTCACATTCTAACACCTAAACTAAAATGATGAACATGGTAGATATTACCTGTCATCCGAAGACTGCAGAGACCACAAAGGCTGAACTGAAACGACATGTTCTGGTCCATGGAAATTTCCCATTAATCCTTGACTGCTGTTTTGAGCAGTGATTAATCTATAGATATAGATATCTATGGCGTGTAATGAGTCTTGGAATAGGTTGGGGACCCACCTTCAGGATCCTTGGTTGCCCGGGAAACGGGCATATTTGAAGTCTTTGAGTCTTTGAAATGGCACAGACTGCTGTGATGCAGTTGTTTTTAAATTGCAGCCTTCAAGGATGCGGCCCCTGAATTGAGACACAACTATGCTGTTACACCTGTGAGCATGCTGACAATAGCATTTAGCTCAAAGAAGCTGTGACTAAATACAGTGCTGCTAACATGGCTGTAAACTCTCAGTCTTGTTCTTATTAGCTGCTAACTTCAAATTGCTGCTCACAAACTTTACTCTTTCTGTCTGTAGGAGGATGTGATAAACACTCAGTGTGGATACGACATTCGAGCTAAACCAGTAAGTAACATATATCTACATCACTCACTCTCATTTCCTTCCTGATTTTAGAGTTGGTGATTTTCCTCTTCCAAAGATGGATTAAAGCTGTTAATAGCTAATATTTATGCTTATGTTAAATATGACAATTGAAGGCCAAGATTTAAATACAATAGGCCGTTTGTCACCTAAGAATGAAAAGGTGGGAAAATCTCTGAAGAATGTATTTTTATCAAATAATTTTACAAAACAAAACAAAAAAAAAAAAGTGGGAGTCCAGGTAAGCAGACAGCCATCCTTACATCTGGAAAGCTTAATATACTTTGCAGTTAAATGTCATACCAAGCTGTAATTCTATGTCCTTTTTCCAGTCCAGTTCTATCAGCACTGACTTCATCCTTTGAGATTTAGTGGCTCCCAGATCCAGTAGAATAAAATGGGTGTATCTTTCAAGGCTGTGGAGAAAGCTTCAAAAGGGGCGGTACTTGTTACTGTATGCAGCCATTGATTTAGAGCGAGAGCTTTATCAGTGGTCCAAATGAAGAGAATTAATTTCCGAGCAGAGTGCAGCAAAATATGCAAAAGGTCTCCATTACAAAAATCAGTCATCATTCAGTCACAGCAGGTGAGTCCTTACACCCAGATGTAAAGGATGGTTGAAAATTTAATCAAGTTGTTGAACAATAGTAATCCAATACCACCAGACATGAGGGCTGCTCCACAAACAATGAAAGAATGAACCGACAGCTGATTGACATTTAGTACAAAGATCTGATAGCTCTAGATTCATTCTGTGTCTGGCTGCAGGAGTGAAATAAAGCCAGTGTAAAATAGGAAATGTAATTCAGCCTCTCCCAGGCTGAATTAAATGCTAGGACAGTAGAAGACATTCCAGGCCTCTTCTATTATAGTGCCCACATCAGATTCCCACTTGCCTATAACTTTGTTAAGTTGTCCACCTTGTCCACCAAAAGCCTGTTGTGCTCAAGGCTCAGTAGCAGTGGCTACCGAGTCAGTCAGATCCAGTCTATTTTTGCACCAAAGAAATGATATTATAGCATTATTTAGCTGTGCAAGACATAATTGGGAGCATTTTAAAGAAAAACAAGAGACATGGGAGAATAGAATATTGTAATAAAGTAATACTGTAATAAAGGCATAAAAAGCCTGAAATAATACTTTATTAGATTAGCTCAATCCCTTTGGGAACTGACTGTCTCGGAGAGTATAGATAAATCAAAACATCATCAGCATATAGACGTACATAGATCTTATTTAAAGAAATTACTTCTATGCTGATATCTTGGTTTAAGATTACAGACAATTTCCATAGCCAAGGTTAACAATGGTAGACTCACCAGGCAGCCCTGTTTTGTGCCCTGTTCAGTACTAACATTATTGGACCTGAGCCCATTAGTAGAAGGGAGAGGTGAGGTATACAAGATCTGCATCCACTTAACAAAGTTTTCCCCCAGATCAAATTTATGAGCATGGGGGGCGCCCTGGTGTCTCACCTGGTAGAGGGCGTACCATGAAGGCTTAGTCCTATCAGCAGCGGTCCAGGTTCTAGTCGGGCCCCCATGGCCCTTTGCTGCATGTCATCCCCTCTCTCTCTCCTTGACTTTCGTGTCTCTCTCTCTCTCACTGTTGCTATCGAAATGAAGGCAAAAACCAAGGCCTCAGAGCTGTACATTGAGGAAGGCTGAATAACACTGGGTAGTCATCTTACATTATGAGAAGAATACCTCCCTTGTATAAAACCAGTCTGATCATTAGTGATGATGGAAGGGAGGACATTTTCTAAACTTAGAGCCAAGACTTTTGCTAAAACCAAAACACATACAGGCCAATATGAAGAACATACATCTGGTTTTACCCTTTTTCAATACAAATGGAATATTTGACAAATCTCTCCTAATTTCCTTTCATTAAACTGTAGCTGAGACTGAAAATTAGTTTTCACAAAATGTCAGATTTGCAGGGGCCCTGAGAGCTCACTGCACTGCAACTTAAGAAAACACATGCAAACAGACAAAACACTGTCAATCTGATGAAGATGTTTTCTGAATTTGTTTGTGTTTTGTCTATTTGCATTTGTTTTCTTAAATTGCAGTGTGTTGAGCTCTCAGGGCCACCATACAGTTTGGTTTTTAAAATCTGTGGTGTGAGTGCACTCAGTCAGAATGTGAAGATGATGACAGGCATGTTCATACAGGACTCGGAGCAGAAGGACTACATCAATGTAAAAGGCTGCGTGCCACAGTTTGAGAAGTGGCTACAGGACAACCTCACCTTGGTGGCTGGGATCTTCATAGGAGTTGCACTACTGCAGGCCAGTTCCATTCACACATTTCACATTCATGCTGCTGCAGAAAAAATATTCTCTTTGAAAATGTTGCCATTATATGTTGTTGCTTGTTTTTCATCCACAGATTTTTGGGATTTGTTTGGCCCAAAACTTAGTGAGTGACATCGAGGCTGTGCGGGCAAGCTGGTGAGAAAATGATCTGTAGTTTTACTTCTTCCGTTCTGTGTCTCATGAATCCACATTTTTATCCTTTCAAGCAGATTTCCCTTGATTTGCACCCATCTGTTTTTACTGTTTCCATTTCACAACATGAGACATTTCAGCTCTTTGTCATAGTATAATTCCTGGAAGTGTCTCTCACGTTGTAGAGATATTTTAGATAAAAAATAAAGTTCAAACTCAAATTAGATGCACTGTTTTTATGTTATACATAAAAACAAACATGCATATGTGGATAACATGAGGGCACAATATTGTAAACATACAAACATTTTGTTTGAATTACACCAGTCACATTTAGCAATGGTCTGGATAATGTAAAGGCATTACCTGTTAACACTCTTGAGAGAACATCAAAGTCATTTAACAATTAGATGCAAAGATCATCAAAACTTTTTTTAAGAAAGAACAAACCTAATAACCATTTTTTTTATATAATATTTATATAATATTTAAATTGTATCTATCGATATATCGATATATCAATATAGATACTGTATATCTATTGGCTCTAACAGGGTTTGTACATAAGTCTGGAGAGTATTGAGCCGACAAAGTGATGAAAGACTTCATATTAAAGGAGCTAATTGTAAGTTTTTGCTATTGCTACATAGCTAACGTTAGCAATAGCAGCTGTTTACTTACCAGTCTAGAGGAAACGTTGTGAGTTCAACATCAAACTTAATTCCTTTACTCACCAACAGCTGTCTCCAGTGGTTACTTCTATTTCTATCATGTCTTTTCTTCTCTTGAAGTTAGCATGCTAACCAGCTAGCCTCACTCAGGTTGGACTGTCTTGTCACTTTCCGATACTGAGTCACTGTAGTGCCCAGTCTGCTTAAAAGAAATAGCTGCTCAGAAGATGTATTATAACCTCTTGTATTGTAAATGAAACAATGGCTCAAGCTCATTGGAAGACTGGCAAGTAAACAGCTATTAACGCTGACATTATCTATGTAGCAATAGCAAAACTTACAAATAGCTCCTTTGATATTCATATTTTTTAGTATTTTGTACACAACATAACAGTGTGTGCACTGAGGTTACCATTATCTAGTGTGCACCAGTTATCTTGTTCTCACAAAATCCAAATCATTTTCATAGTACTTCAGGTGCTCCGTACTTAAGTCCCCATGAATAATCTTAATGTTGTAAGATCACCATGTAAATTGTACTTAACAATGAAAATTGGACACACATGTAGTTTTGACACCGAGGCTGTAGGGACCCATTAAACATGTGTTCCTATAGAAGAGGTGCAGACAAATGCCCAAAACTCTTCAGTTTTTCATCAAATATCTTTTTCTTCATGATAAAAAAGATGTTTGACCTCAGCAGAAACTCCACAGCAGCCTGAGGGAAGTACAGGGAGGAGGCTTGCTGAATTTTACCATTACATTGCCAACACTCACCTCAAACCTCATTCTTCCTCCTCCATGCTTCGTCAGGGTGCCCCCCCCTCTCTCCATGCGTCGACTCCCACCACACTCCAGCAAGAAAGCATCGGCTTACTACTCATGAGACACACACACACGCTGTTTGTGTGTTTGTAGCCGGTGGGTGTGATGGATCCATTTGGTGATTTGTTTTGTCTTGAGCATTGCTGTGATTGGGTGGATGATCTGTGTGGTGTTGTGTTGTGTTCCATTTATGATACAAGTCTGGAAACATGGAGTTGTGTTCACTCTACACTTGTGTACAGTGTGATATGGAGGCCAGAATGTGCCTATGCAGTGATTGTTTTGTCAATTTGTCAGTTTTGATTATATCATCTAATGAACTGAAAGTTTAAAGAGCCAATGAAATGAACTCTGGTGAGCGCAGCTAAATCCAAGTAATGATGTCAGAAATTTACAGAAACAACAGTGATGTGGCTCATCTAGAAAAGCTGAATTGCTCTTCAAAGTGACTTAAAACTTAACAACTGAAAATAATAGTTACATGTCCATTTCTATGCTTAAAACGTTGCATTATATGCTCACAATTAAGGCTCAAATATTCCATAGGCTAAAGGCGTTTTCACATTATCATGAAAAAACACAAAAACAACAAATGAAACAATTATTAAAAATCAAACCATATCAGTAAAACACAAAACAAGTCAGAATGCAGGAAATAATTAAGATAACTACAAGTAAAACATGACCAAAAAGATATTTGCTTGACAGAACATAGCAACATTAGCATTGTTGCTAAGGTAGCACAGTTTAGTAGGGCATTACAGAGAGTTTTGGAGTAGTAAATACTGCACAGAACAGACCCTTGCTTTTCTGCTCTAATATGAATACACCTGTATTCTCTACAAGCAACAGAACACTATTACATATATTATATTATATTATATTATATTATATTATATTATATTATATTATATTATATTATATTATGTTTGGTTACAGAAGAGACTCTGGAGACCTTGTCCTTCAAGTCAACGACTATGTTTAATGTGGAATTTACATTTAAATCAAGGGAAATTCAGATTGTGTTGATGGAGCAAGGCCATACAAATTCTATTAAAAACTGTTAGATTCTTCAAAGCACAGGTCAAATCAGTGAATGAATTGTCAGTATGACTGCATGTCAGTGATTTTCCTACATGTTCCTGTTGAGCTGTAGAGTTGGGGTGGTTTGGAGTGATGTGACTTAGACAACAATCCTTTCTTTCTTCGTGGCCTTTTCTTCCACTGCCTGCTCGCTGTGACTTTGTCCAACTGAGGACGTTTTTCTGTTTCTGTCTTTTCTCTGCTTCATCTTGTAATCCCATATCATCTCTCTAGTTTAGATCCTCCGCAGAAACTGTTTCCTAAGCCTAACCCTGAACTTCACTGTTTCCTGCTTCCCTGTCTCCTTAAGTTGTTGAACCACAGGACAGTTGGAGCCTTGTTAATGACTACACTTTGGCTTTTTAATGAATTCAGCTCTTTATCTTTTTACAGTTTCTTTACCTAATGCTGAAACAGCATTTCACTTCTAACAGGTAACCCTTCTCTTTTCCTGAAATACAATTTCATAAATAAAATGTGGCGTTTAACAGGATCACGTAAAAAGTCGAATATTCATTAGATTTTGTTTTGTTTCTTTTTGCCAGTCTTTGAGCAGAACGTCAGGGAGCATTCAGAGGACGTCACTGATCACCTGCACCACGTTGTTCACTGAACCAGCACCTTTTTCCAAGGCACTAATATGTGAAAAAAATGCTCTGTATATAACACTGTGTGTGACTACTGTAAAAAGAAAACAGCTGGAGAGGATGGTTAAACATGCACTACACTACAATGCTCCAGTTTTGGTAGCTGCGTCTAGAGAGTAGGAATTTTGATACATCTTTTTGATATTAGATTGGTATTTTTCACTGTGGAAATAATGCTCCATTGCTAAACCCATCACATAGGACTGTGACGTAGTGTATAAAAGAAACTGAGGTGTACTTCTTTCAAAGTTCAGTGCTTGTTTTACTTACTTTTCCATCACTTGTCCACAGTTACAGAAGTTAGCAAGCTATAACACTCTGGCTGGTTTTGGACTGAAAGCCCGATCTCTTTGTTTTTTTGTTTTTTTGTCAAAATAAAACTTTAAAGGTCCCATATGTTACACTTTTCCAGTGTTTTATTTGAGGATATATTTTTGGTTTTAAGAACCAAAAAGAACCAATCAGAAGAAAGGACTTTTGAGTCTCTCTTCTGGTTGGCTGACTGTTTTCTGAGTGATCCAGTAAAAATATAGCAGATTTCAGGTAAACACTCAGAGAAACCAAATCCTGCAAGGTTGGATGGGTGGGGCTTGGGGCCTGGCTGAGAGCTGTGACTGCTTTGTTGTGACATCACAAAGTTACAGAAGTCCTAACGGCTGGTTTTAAGGCTCAGTTTCTGAATACAGCTGTGTGCATTTCTCTGTGGACTGAGCACTTTGATACTTTCACAGTATTAATATAGAACCTAGACCTGCTTTATAATCAAACAACACATGGACAGAGACCTTTATACTATATGGGACCTTTAAGGGTATTTGTGTGTTACAGCAGATTACAGGACTTCTTCATTTACCGCTGTCTCTGGTCACTTTATCTAGTATTTTTGTTATTGCACTAACAGTGATGTTTAATTTGTGTTCAGTCAATCAGCAGTGAGGATATGTGTGTGCTCTGTTGTGATGGTAGAGTTGAGCTAGATATTCTCCAAATGCTGACTCATCCGGCATTAAAGAGGAAATTACCAGTAATTACTTCAACTATTTACCATAATGAGTTACTACTTATCTAATGGACTAAAAAGGACCTCAGTTAATTACGTGATGGATTCTCCCATCACTAAAGGAGACAAAATTTCACGACCACTGTGTAGCTCCAGAATGTGTGTCAGATTCTGAGCCACATGTATTTGGAAGGACTGGGGAGCTGCACCTTTGTGGTAGAGGCCATGTGTCAAGAACAGTAGGATAATACAGTAGTAACAGTAGGACAATAATTGTCTGGTCAGATTTCTAATCTAGTTCACTTCTTTACCCAGTTATAGACCATTTTATTCTATTACAGCATTAAACGTTAAAACTTTGACTTCTTCTGTTAAAAGAATAGATTTGGATCTGGGCAGTCACATCTCACATGCCATATGTACACTGGTAGAGAACTTTGTAGTATAATGGTTTCCAGCCCTTAAATAATCATGACCAGCCTTTAAAAGATGGGGGAACAAAATCTACAGTCCAAAGTTGACCTGAAGCTAACATGATGTTTCAGCAATCAGAGCTAGCCAAATCAAACAGGTGTCTTTGTCTTGGCATTCACATGTAGGTTTATTTTGGCTCAGCAAGTGAACAGCAGGGAAAATATTTGGGATGACACAATCTGGCTAACTCAGACTGCTAAAGCTAATGTCATGCAGTAGTAGCTTCAGCTGAACATGCTCTTGCGTGCATGTAGCATGTGAGAAAATCCAAATCAATCCATTAAAGGTCCATATTTGACTTTTCTGTGTTTTATTTGAAGTGTTGATCCACAGGAAGATATATTTGTGGTTTTGAGAACCAAAAACCATCTCAGTGTAGTTTTACATCTCCTCTCTACGGATTCTCTCTGGAGCTCTAGTAACAACAGGTCAGAGAGACAATTAGAAGAGAGGAGGCTCTGAGCCTCTCTTCTGATTGGCTGACTGCTTTCTGAGTGATCCAATAAAAATATAGCAGATTTCAGGTAAACACTCAGGCTACATCCACAACACTACAAAACAATCTCCATCCAGACTAACACACCTGAAAACTCATACAAATCACATACACTGACCATGCGTGAGCAGTTTAAACAGGAAGTAGATTGTCTGTTCTGCAGTTAATTTGTTGCAAGAAATACTCTGAGCAAGGAACAGCAAAGACAGTTGAAGCATCAAAACACAGAATGTAAGTGAACAACAGCAGCTAGCAAAGACAACAAGGTCGGTAACGCTTGTAATTCATTATTATGTTGTATTCAACACTTGTGGATGGGAGGTGAAAAAGTAGCAAGCTATGCGTTTTAAAACAAAAACGTAGTAGTGTGGGCGTAGCCTGAGAGAAACTAAATCCTGCAAGATTGGATGATGGGTCCAGATGGGCGGAGCTTGAGAGCGGTGACTGCTTTTTTGTGACATCAAAGGTCAAGAAGTCCTGACAGCTGGTTTTAAGGCTCAGTTTTTGAATACAGGCTGTGAGCATTTCACTGTGGACTGAGGCCTTGATACTTCCACAGTATTAATGTAGAACCTAATCCTGATCTATAATGAAACAACACATGGGCAGAGCCCTTTATACTATGTGGGACCTTTAAATGGAAACAGGATTTTGTGGGGAAATATGTTTATATGGTTTAATAATAAGTTTGGTTTTAGTATTTGATAAATTCAGATACTGTATTGGCAATAGTATGGAAGGGATACCCAGTCCTGAACAAACCACATCACATATGAAGAGGTCACTGGTTTGGAAAATGACTCTTAATTTCCATCTTTTTAAAACAGTTGTAGATAGTGAAGTGTGTTCAGGTCCTGATACATAAGTAACTACAAAGGTTATGTTGGTGTCCACCCCCTCTGTCATTTGATATTAGCACTTTGATAAGGAATTCATGTTTTTGGAGGACGTCTCAATAATCTACCAGTTTCCAGTGACGCTGGTGGAATGTTAGAACATGGCTCAAGGAACACGTCGTTTGTCTTTGTTTTTTTTTTTTGGAGAATTTTTTTTCAATAAGATGTTAAATATTTTCCTCATACATTAACTGCACTCACTTGAATGGAAACGAATCTGGCACATGTATCCTGTGATTGTCTTTCACTGTGTATTTTGATGCAGATCTGACACTGAATAGACCAAAATCTACAAATCCAGCCCAGGTATTAGAATCTGGAATTTCAAAATGGTGTTAAGAAGTTTTTTTTTTTTTTAAAGTGATATTTTCCTTAAAGCATCCCATTTTTTGTTTCCTCAGAGTTCAAATTGTTATTTAGAAAATTTGAATTCAGAAAATTTGAAGTGTTAAGATACTAAAAATGGATCAACACTGTTTTTGATACTTATTAATATTTATTGTATGTTTGATTTGGTTTTATGATTTCCCTTTGTACTGAACAGCTACTGAAGCTTGTTCCAGGTTCAGGAGTTGTAAAAAAAACTCTAATGAGGAATGGTGCAGTCATTCATCATGACCTGACCCATGGATTGTTTCTATGATCACAGTGCACTGATGAGCTAGAATATTAAGACCACCCCTGTCTAATACTGTTGCTCTTTCACCTGCCGCCAAAACAGCTGCGACCTGCGTCACCACTGCTCACCTGGAGCTCCCAGTCGTCTGGTCATGATGAGTTGGTCCAGGACTTAACACCTGCTCATTTCTAACAGATCCTGACGACAAGAAGTGACTGTCTAATACGTCCTGGACATTTAGAAGATAATCGTTATTCACTTTGTCTGTGTGGTCTTAATGTTCTGTCTCATCAGTGTATATCCCACAAACATTGTAATGTAACTACCTCCTCTTATTTGCTTTTCTCATGTCCCACTAAAATTGGACTGATTTTAATATAAAGTGAAATTACTCAATAAAGGCCACAAAACTGCATCTTTCAGTCTTTAAAGTGGTGTTTTTGGTTGAATCCCTGAATGTCTGTGACTGAGTAAGAAAGTTACATCATTGGTTGGCCGGCCGAGTATTTATGGGTAATAATTACTATATTGTATTTGATTATTTTACATCAAAAAATGAATCTGAACAGATGTTGAGCACAGGAATCCTCGAATAGTGAGCCCTGATCACATCAGCACTGCTGAAGTTCTTGCAAGTCAGTTTTTCACAAAACCTGTCAGGATATAGAATTTAACAATTATTAAAATGTTGAAATGTTTGCTGGGGATCTGCTTGTTTCTTAAGCTAAGTGGTTACTGATGACTTCCGTCTCCCCCTCTCTTACTCAGTGTGTTTTATGTTTCGTCATTCCTCTGCCTCATTATTGAGAGTGGTTCCTGTAATCAGTGTAGTTTATTTGCTGTAGTGGAGGTGAGGCTCAGTGGCAGCTCCACATCATGGAAACCCAATGATTAGCTGCTGTAGTTAGACAGCCCCCAGTGGCTGAGCTGGGTTACACCATATAAAATACCTGACACAAAAAGTTTTAAAATACAGTATATCTGAGTTGAAGTGCTGAAATGGGAGAGATTATTTCAAAAATCACACCCTGTGCACACAGTCACGGTTATAGACTATGTTTTTAAATGGTCTTGTTTTGCACCATACTGTTGACACCAAGAGCTCGAGTAAAAATTTGTGTTCATCCTGGGGCTTTATGAAATACATCATAAATGCACTGCGACAACAGACATTAGAATTTCCAACTCAGAAATATGGTCACAACTTCTCCTTCTATTCCTGAGTTACAGTGTTGCATAATGGCCAGAGGTGTTTTTGCAGAACATTATGATGTCACAGTGATGTTGACCTTTTGGATATAAAATGTCATCACTTCATCATTTTATCCTATCAGACATTTGTGTTATGTTGTGTCATAATCAGCGTATAAACTTTTAAGTTTTTTTTTCATTTGTGAAAATGACACGAGAGGTAAGTGAAAAAGAATTTGTGGGGGCAATCATTTTTCATTCGTTTTTTTTCCCCAGAAAAAAAAAATCACTTGCCTCTTGGGGATGTTTATACAGATAAAAAAAAAACTTCGCTAAAACTAACATCTGTACAGTTGGTCTATTGGCTGACATCGTCAAATTCACTCAAATAACACAAGGTGAAAGTTAAGTTAACATCTGGTCTGAACATGACTTCACTGTGAGATGGTAAAAATGGGATCAGACATGAACTAATGAACTGATCCATGTGACATGTAAACGTTCCACCTGGGAGATACTGAATCAATAAAAGACATGAGCCATCACCAGCTATCATCTTTTAATTATCTGCTGAGTTACAATCCTCCAAATGTACAACTCATGACATTTACAACAAACATTTAAGTTTATAGTAATTTACGCAGTTACTATGGATACATTTCCACTGGCATGTGTCTTCAGAAGAGCACAAATCTGATAAATAACCATTCATACCTTTTT